CCAGGTATACAACATGGCTAAACTCTAATGCCATTGCACCTGTCTCATCTCCACGTCAATCTTTCCATTGTCATCGCCCAGTCATTAGGCTCTCCCAGGGTCAGAATTGGCTCTGGGCTGCCTTTCCCTGTGCAGGATAGTTCCCAAGTCACCATGAACAGGCAGGTCAATAGTAATCTCATGTACAAGAGAGAAAAAAAGCTTGAGCAAGAGCTGAGTGATGAGAGTAGGGAGTGCTGGGGATGACAAGTGTGGCTGTGACTCAGGTGTCGGGGTGTGACTGGAGGTGCTGAGCTGAGGCAGGCCTTGCTGCAAAGGCTTATGGATGGGAAATCCACACCTTATGGACTGAATGTAAAACTACGTTCAGATGCAGGGAGGGGTCGAGCTCCCAGGATTTAGGCTGGTGTCTACACCAGGGGAACAAAGGACACTGGGTTGCACATGAGGTTACACAAAGAGGCAGAATAGCACAAGAACTGCAAACACAGACTTTGAGTCAGGAGGCTGTAGGTCCAAATTCTGGCTCTGCCACTGGCTCTGCCATTTACTTTCTGCGTCACTTTGGTGGGGTAAGACATGGCCTCTTTACATGTCAGTGTCCTCTGAATGATGGAGGAGGGCTAGTGTAGGGATTAAGTGAGATGGTTGTGTAGAGCACTCAGCATAGTGCCTAGCCTATTGGAAGCACTCTGCAAATGTCAGGTGGTAGTACTGTTATTGGAAAAATTGATAGCAGAAGCTACTTCTCATTCCCAAAGTGCTACGTCCAGCATCCTTGTTTTGGGTTCACAAAGATGCACACCTAGGTAATATAATGGATTGTTTAGAGAAAACGTTAAATCAGTATGGGACACTGAATTTATTAGAAAGATAAATTTAGACAGCCATGCTCTAATCTCAAAGACTGGTAATTCTAGTTCTCTAGGGCTTGAAACAAGGAACAACATCCTTACTCCAACCATTCTTAGGCAGATTCCTTCTTTTTCTGAACAACGATGGGACACTGAATTTATTAGAAAGATAAATTTAGACAGCCATGCTCTAATCTCAAAGACTGATAATTCTAGTTCTCTAGGGCTTGAAACAAGGAACAACATCCTTACTCCAACCATTCTTAGGCAGATTCCTTCTTTTTCTGAACAACATCCTGTTCAGAATTTTGTGTCCCTGGAAAGGCACTGCTCAGCTTTGTGTGGACTAAACCTTCACCGAGGCAGACTGACTATAGCTTTGTCCCTCCACACAGTGTGGTCTGACCATAGCACACCAGTGAACAATGAGCAGATGAGCCAATCAGTGATGTGTGTCCCTGAAACAGACTGGGTCACGTTAAAGGGGGGTGCAAAGTCTTTGATGTTCCCCCCATTGAGAGGTGGAGTCTCATTCTCCTCTTCTTGAGTCTGGGCTGCCTTAGTGACTGCTTGACTGATGGGAAATAGTAGGAGTGACATCCTTGGACTTCCCAGGTGTTTGCATCTGTTTCTGTTGCTTATAAAAAAAATACGTGGAACTGGGTAATTTGTAAGAAAACAAGATTTATTGTTTATAGTTTTAGAGGCTGGGAAGTCCAAAGTCCAGGGAACGCATCTGATGAGGGTCTTCCCTGGCAGTAACGCAGGGGTCTCACATGGCAGAATATGGTGGTGCAGAGAGAGATTGATTCTCATGTGATCTCCTTTTAAAGCCCTCAGAACCATGCTCACGAACTAGGGTGTGGCCCTTACAATCCAATCACCTCCCCGAGGCCCCACCTTTGAATCATCGCAATAGGATTTCCCACCCTCTCAACACTGTCACAGCGGAGGCCAAGTTTCCAATACCTGGAACTTTGGGGGACAGAATTTAAACTTCAATGAGTCAGCGGGGAGGGGACATTTAATCCACAGCACCAGGCTAGGTTGTATGAATCCTTACAGCTTCTGCCTGGGCCTTTTGGAAGGTTTGCTCCTGGAACACTGAGCCACATGTAAGAAATCTGACCATGTGGAGAGGCCAAGACAATATGGAGACTCAGGGAGCCTAGCTGAGCCCAGCCTTCCAACTGTACCTTCAAAGGTGCCAGGCGTGTGAGTGAGGCCCATTTGGACTTTCTAACCTACCCATCTACCAGCTGAATACCACCAAATGACCTCGATTGATTGATACCACATGGGACAGAAGAATCACCCCCACCTCAAGAAGAAGAATCACCTTGCCCAAATTCCTGAACCACAAAATCATGAGCAATAATAATATGGTAGTTTCGAACCACTAAGTCTTTGGGTGCTCTGTTACACATCAATAGATGTATAGAGCCCTCCATGTCTTTCAGGGAGAGGTTTCACGTTGAAAGCAGGTGCCCAGATTCAGAAGCCACTGTTGGATCTTGTGACCCAGGCTCAGAGGCTGAACGAACTACAAATGAAGGCTTTTAGCAAGGATTTAATCACTGGATTTTGGAAGACAAAAACACCTGAGTGTCACAGATATGACAAAGGGAAATGTGTTTCCTGGGCCATCTGTCCTAGATGATGTTTTCAAATGCAGTTGGATACTTCCCTTTGTGAACACTGACTGTATGCCAGTGGTGCCAATTCACTACTCAGCTAGGTGAATGCCAGGAACATCAATGAACTGTCTTTAGGTGCAACAGGGAAGCCACTGCAGTGTTCATGCCATCAGCTTGGTGATGTCACCAGCATGCTCTACAACATTAAAAAGTGGCAGTTTGGCACAAGGTTGTGTGAATTCAAGTGATTAGATGTAAATTAAGAGAGATGACTATTTGAGAGTTGTGGGTTAATTTTTTTTTGGCTGTCCTTGGAATGGAAAATCATTGCGAATTTTGGGGAAAAATACCACAGCAATCTGTTTTTTTGGCTGTGTGCTATGGAGCAATTTTAAAGCATTGAAGTGCTCTCCATACTTTCTAATCACTCAAGCCCAGAGCTGATTATGGCTGTCAGCATCTCTCACATTCACACCACTGGAGCCCTCCATGTCTTTCAGGGAGAGGTTTCACCTTGAAAGCAGGAGCCCAGATAGATTCGGAAGGTACATCTTGCTACAGCAGGAACAAACAATTTAATTGCAGCACCATTCCACAAGGGCCAGGTGTTTTGGAAAATCACTGACGGTCCAACTCCAAGACAACCCAGATTCACATTCTCTTATCTCACAGAAACAAAACATAACCTCCCCTCCAAACAGAAAAAACAAAAACAAGCCCTACCAGAAGCTGAATTCCTTCAAATAAAAACCAGACACATTTAGAATGTTAAAATCTGTGGGCAAGGACACACACACACACACACACACACACACAGAGTTATGTATGATAGGACATCTCTGGAAGGAGCTCCAAGAAATTGGTACCTGTGGTTTCATCGGGGGAGAATTGGGGAACTGGAGAAAATTGGGGGTTGATGAAGGAGAAAGACATTTTTTTTTACCATAACCTTTTGAATATTTTGAATTTAAAAAATCATGTATTAATTTTCAAAATA